CCCACTTGTCACCCTTAAATATAGCAGAAGAGAGAAAATATCCTTTTTACTTCTGGAAAATAATATCCTCTTCTTTCTAGAAACTTCCGCTATTGTTAACCGACTGAGCTTCTCAACTCAGAAGCAGGTTTCTTCATAGTATCAGAGTGGGAGATACTGGAATCTCACGCGATCTAATCTCTAGTTCGGTTTGTTCTTTGCTTTTTCTGTTCACAGTAATTTTGAAGCTTGTTCTCTTCAATGATGGGTGATTCCTCGTTAGCGGCAGAAACTGTGATCGACCACACTCATCCTCTGTATATTGGTTCGTCGGACACTCCTAGTTTAGTAATTGTTACTGTTAAGCTCATAGGATCAGAGAATTACATTATATGGAGCAGGTCAATGCGGATTGTACTTATGGGGAAGAAGAAGTTAGGGTTCGTCACAGGAAAGTGTAAGAGAGACTAACTTGCTGGAGCAATAGGAAACCTATAATGCGATTATTCTTTCATGGATAATGAACAATGTTTCGGCAGAACTCCTTGGAGGAATCGTTTATGCATCAGATGCTCACCTCGTTTGGGAAGACCTGCGAGAGAGATTTGACAAAGTCAATCGAGTGCGAAATTTTCAATTACACAGGGAAATTGCGACCTTATCACAGGGCACTAACTCTGTTTCAGTGTATTTTTCACGGATAAAGGAGCTTTGGCATGAATATGATGTACTGGTACCGTTTTCTGATTGTGGCTGTCGAAAAGCAAGAGATCATGTGGAACAAATGCATCAACAAAGAGTTATGCAATTTCTGAGCGGCCTCAATGATTCATATGATCAATCAAGGCGACAGATCCTTATGAAGACTAATGCGCCTAATCTCAATCAAACTTATGCGATGATAATTCAAGATGAAAGCCAACAATCTATTGGAGCTACTGTTTTATTAGATAAAATGGATCCTATAGCTATGCAAGCTGGAAGAGTCCAAGGATTTAAAGGAAAGAAACATTTCCCTCAATGTGAACATTGTGGGATGAAGGGTCATACAAAAGAAAATTGTTATAAAATCATTGGTTATCCTATGGACTTCAAGCCTAAGAAGAAGTTTGGAACAGGAAACTCGGATGGCTGAAGAAGAGAGCCTCTTGCAACAGTCAACAATGTAGAAGGATCTTCTTCATTGCAATGAGCTAGAACTAATCAAGGAACATCTGAACACAAAGGTCATTATTTTTTTTACTGATGAGCAATATAAGCAAATTTTGGAGCTGTTGAACAAAGAACCAGGAGAGAACCAGACCAATTGTACAAAGGAGAATCATGCCAACTTTGTAGGTATTGTCAATCGCTTGATGTCTGAACACACACCAAAGGAATGGACCATAGATTCCGAAGCTACTCATCATATTGCTGCTAGTTTAAAAATATTACAAGGTTGTGATGATATAAGGACATCTAGGACTGATAATACCAATAGGGGAAGTAGCTGATATCACACACGTTGGTAATGTGAACTTGTTTGACAAAGATGTTGTTCAGAATATTTTATATGTGCCTAACTTTAAGTATAATCTACTGTCGATATCAAAGCTAACCAGAAAGCTCTCTTGTGCTGCCACATTTTTTCCTGATTTCTGTGTATTTCAGGATCTTTACAGTGGTAGGGTGAAGGGGATTGGTAGAGAGAGAGGAGGCTTATACATTCTGAAGGAGAATTCAGATGTAAACAGACTTGCTAGAATAAGAGCTGTTGCAGTAAGCAATTACAGTGAAGAAGGCAATCTATGGAACATGAGGTTGGGCCACCCATCTGTTACAACTATGAATCATATAGAAGACTTAAGGAATAAAGTTAGTAGGACTATACAAAATGATTGTCCTGTATGTCCACTAGTAAAGCAGTCTAGATTGCAATTTCCTGTTAGTAGTTCTAGAGCTGATTTACCATTCAATCTTGTACATCTAGACCTTTGGGGACCCTATAAAGTACCTACTTTCGATAAAAAGCATTACTTCTTAACTGTTGTGGATGACAATACTAGATTCACATGGATTTATCTTTTGCAATTAAAATCTGAAGTTATAGTCATTTTAAAGCATTAGTTTGGAACTATGATTAAAGTGATAAGATCAGACAATGGAAAAAAGTTCTTTAACTCTCAGTGTGATACATTGTTACATGATTTTGGGATAATACATTAGAGCAGTTGCCCATATACTCCACAACAGAACGATGTCGTGGAAAGGAAGCACAGGCATATCCTAGATGTGGCAAGGGACTTAAGGTTTCAGGCAAGTATTCCTATAAGGTACCGAGGTATGTGTGTGCAAGCAGCAGTCTATTTGATAAATGGGCTACCTTCTAGAGTTTTGAATGGTAAGGTTCCTTATGAGATGTTGTATCAGAAGAAGCCAACTCTTGGACACATCAGAGTTCTAGGATGTTTGTGTTATGCTAAAAGGTTGGTCAAGGGAGACAAGTTTGCTCAAAGGGCCAATGCAACAGTACTTCTTGGTTTTTCAGAAACCCAAAAGGGCTACATATTACTTGATTTGTCTTCTAATCTATTTTTTGTAAGCAGGGATGTGGTGTTCAAAGGGTCAATTTTCCCTTTCAAACAAAAATATGTGGTACTTCCAAGTGTTTAAAACTTCAGAGCATTAAATGTTAGTACTCCCCTAAAGGTGGGAAGATAATATGATATGGTATTATGTCAGAGTTAAGTGGTTCAGGTAAATATAGAATGGTAAAGGAAGAATTCGGTAAAAAGGCAAAAAGAATGAGATTGCATTTATTCGGATCCTATATGTATGTCACGACTCCAGAATGTTATGCAAGCACGGCGCCGGGAAGAGGCAGTAAGGGTTCTTGGCAAGGATGTTAATTTATAAATAAGTGCGAATGGGCACTTGAGATATAAGGAACCAGTGCGAGAGGTAAGTTAAGACAAAAGACATCACCCAAGAGAGATTACGCATAATATACATATGAGAATGGATCAACGAGTAGTTAGTAGATTATTCAGGAAGAGCATAGTTATGGTTAGACAAAAGGTAATAGACAAATTAGCAGATTATGCGAGATAAACTTAGTGAACCCCAGCATAGAGAATTCAGCCTCGTAGATACGAGATCATAATCCTGGAGAAATACTCAGATAGGAGTTGGGGTAATTAAAGGTACCGTATAAGTGTTATAGAAATAAAAGAGAGTACCATTGGGGAGGCAACCAAAATTTAACTACAGAAGTAACCCTATGAGCACAAGGGCACGGAGGTAAGTAACTAAGGATAATTATAGGCTAGTAAGAACATAAAAAATTCCGTCGGGTATACGATGTAATAAGCTCACTGTTTTACAAGAGTCATAAGGTCTCCCCAAAGTACTACTACAAAAGACTAGCTGAGAAAATGAGGAAGAATGATTCGACCTAAGCATAGTAACTTGAAGAAGAAATGATCTTGTAACAACACTCTCATTAGAATACTATGTGCACTCCATAAGAAAGTGGAACCTATCGTGACTAATGAGTGGGAAGTAAAAATCAAAAGTAATATTTCAAGATAATATGAGTTACACAAAATTCTAGTATGCGTGGGTACTAAGATAAGCCCAGTATTCATGCAACAAGTGATAGAATGGCCAGGAAAAGTAATTGCTTACGTTTAAAGACAGTTGAGAACGCACGAAAAGAATTATTCAATCTATGACCTAGAGTTAGTTACGTTATGACTGCACTTAAGATTTTGGGGTATTATCCATATAGCATATATGTTGACATTCTTACAGTTATAGGAGACTCCAATATAAGTTAAAAGAATGAATTGAGTCCATGTCACATACAAAGGCTTGAATTGTTAGAAGATTATTACATGCATGTTCCATAGCGTCCATGAAAGGCTAATGTAATAGTTAATACCCTGAGCCATAAATTGGAATACAACTTAAGCATACTTAAAGGCTGAGAGAGAAGAGGAAGCTCGAGAGTTATATTAGCTAAGTAAATTAGGATTTCGAGTATTAGACCTAGATGGTTATAGAAATCGTGACTCAGAACATTGCAGAATCATTCTTAATAATAGAAGTACAAGAGAGATAATACAGTGGTCATATTCTATAACAACTCTACGATAAAACCAGTTAGAAGTGTACCATCCTTAGAGATAACAAAAGATGGAGTGGAGATGACAGGCTAAATATGTGCCCCACTGTTATGGGACTCCGAGACATTATCAAGGCGAGGAAGCATAATTTTTACCATTCGAGTAAAGAACACATGCGATAATAGAGTCGTAATCTAGAATACTGTAGAAATAAGAAGACATGATATGAGACGAGCGACATCATATTATCGGTACTTCAAAGATGATTGCGAACTATAAAGTATAACATGGATGGACGACTCTCCAGATCGACTATTCAGTTCAAAATTGTCTGTTAGGATAAGCCATGCTATAAATAGAAATGCGCTGGCTTTTATAGGAGTACCACAATTTAAAAGATCAAGAATGTGAGTGAGCTAAGATGAAAAGTCAAGTATAAATTTTTACGAGAGTGTGATAAGTCAGGAGACTAGAATACGAGGCTGAGAGGTTGAATCCTATCCTAAATAACTCATTCCTCATGAGAGTAGAAATATATGTATATCTCTGTACAAGGTGTGGCAAGAGGGTGGAATAGCAATGTTACATGTACCAAGCTGATAACTAAACTTAAGAAAAGTAATGCGAGAACTATGAGAGCCAAGGTGAGGATTGCATTTTGTTCTAAGGGCATCAAATAAAAATTATACGATGGCCAAGGTCATAGAATAAGAATTCATAAAGTAAAAATGTATGGAAAGTCATAGACAACTAGGTATTCCTAAATATGTTGGCTACAAAAGGCGTCACCAGATCCGGTAATAAGGGCAAGCTTAGTCCGAGATATATAGGGCCTTACCTAGTCATTTGACGGATAGGCAATGTAGCATACGAGCTTGAATTGCCTCCAGAGTTAGAGTCAATCCATTATACATGCTGCGGAAGTGCATAGATTATAGAGGGTCTATCCTACAAGGAGATTCCAGTGGCTATTTTAGATCGACAAATCTATAAGTTGAGGACCAAAAAGGTAGCCTCTGTGATGGTATTATGGAGAAATAAGAACATCAAATAAATGACATGGGAGGCCATAGAGGATATGAAATCTAAATACCCCACCTACTTCAAGTGAAGATATGGCTCGAGATGGGATATTATAGTACAGTACGGTTCAAACTAGTAGGTCGTGAGGTGAGCTCTTATATTTGACTTGCAGTGCTTATGATTGAAGGCCGTGTGAGGCCAAGTGTTGATATTTATAGACATTGGCCCTGTATGGCATGTATAGTATGCTTTTGGCTGCGTGCAAGTTGTTTTTGTCCAGTGTACGGAGGAGACTCTGGCGAGATTTTTTCCTAGCCTATAAGAGTTAACATTCGAGGACGAATGTTCCTAAGGGCGGAAGGATGTTATACCCCGTACTTTCATGTTGGAATGTGTCTTAAGTGGATCAATATAAGCCAGAAAGTTTAAGGACCTTATTGATTGTCATGACCCCAATTTTCCTCCTTAGGATGTCATGACGACACCTAGTGTCTAAGATTAGGTAAGCCTAACAAGAATGCGGAATAATAGAAATATTAAGCTAAAACTCAAAACATCAATAACTGTAATAAATAAAATCTGCAACTCAGAGTATAAATAACTCCCAAAACCCGGTAGATATAAGTCACAAGCTCTAAAAAGAAATACTATATCTCTATACATCAGAGTCTAATAAGGATAAGGAAATAACATAATAAAGATAGAGGGGGACTCCGAGGTCTGCGGACGCTGACAGATATACCTTGAAGTCTCCATGTACGGACTAGCTCACTGATACCTGGTCTGGTAGGAAGTACCCGGATCTACACAAAAAGATGTGAAGGAGGGTAGTATGAGTACACCATAATGGTACCCAGTAAGTGCCAAGCCTAACCTCGGTAGAGTAGTGACGAGGTCAGGTCAGGGCCCTACTGGAATAATAAGAAAACAAGGTGGAAGATATAATGATATAATGAAATGTCAGAGAAGTGTAACAATAGAAATTCACAGAAGGTAACAACACAGAATTAAATAAGACAATTGCAACACATAAGGAAGCAAGAATCTTACAAGTTAAGGAACAACAACAACAACAATTTGGAAAATAGAGGAAAACAACAAGGGCACTCCTGAGGTACCACCTCGTAGTCCCAAAAGTAAATATCTCACAACGGCACGGCAGAAACCTCGTGCAAATAATAACAACCGCACGGCAGAAACTTCATGCTACAATAACAACCCGCACGGCAAAAACCTCATGCCACAATAACAATCAGCATGGCAAAAACCTTGTGCCACAATAAAAATTTGCACGACAAAAACCTTGGGCCACAATAACAATACGCACGATAGAAACCTCATTCCATAATAACAATAATCACGAAAATCAATACATAACAAATGAAACAATGATATTACAAGCAAAGAATCCAACAGTTAAAGAATGAATACGGAATCAAGGAAGCAGGTAATTCAACTAAGCATGTTGTACAAATTACAAATAAGAGATAAGACACGTAGACATGTGAAATTAGGCTAAACATGATGGATACACATTCTAGAGTAACTCAATTAAGGAAATAAAAGGAAACTATTTAGCAAAAATTGGATTTTTAATATTTACCCCGAGTACGCACTCGTCACATCGTGTACACGGCCTTCACGTATTGCAATTTACCATAACAGTACCAAATCCTAAGAGGAATTTCCCCCACATAAGGTTAGACAAGTCACTTACCTCAAACCTCGCTCAATTAATCAATAAGAAGGCCTTTCCCTCAATTTTTCAACTCAGATCGGCTCGAATCTAGCCAAAATAATTTCATACTATAAATATAACTATAGGAAACTAACTTAAATAATGAAATTACGACTTTAGCAAAGAATTGAAAGATCCCTCCAAAAAGTCGACCTGGGCCCACGTCTCGGAACCTGACCAAAATTATAAAAACTGAACACCCATTCGATATTGAGTCCAACCATACAAGAATTATCCATATCCGACCTCATTTGGTCTTTCAAAACCCAAGAATTTGGTCTAAGAACTTTACACCTTTTCCCCCAAAATTTTCAACCCAAATCCTTAATTAGATGAAGAAATCGAAGCTATATTAGTGGGAATTAATCAAAAACAAGTCAAGAATCCTTGCCCAAATGTTTCCTCTTAAAATCCCTCAAAAGATCGCCTCAATCCGAGCTCTCAAAGTCCCAAAGTGAAAATGAAACCAAACCCTTGACTTTCCCTATTTTTGCCCAGTCAAACCGCATCTGCAGCCCAAGAATCGCTTTTCCGATGCTACACATACAGAAAAAGCATCGCAGGTATGGAAAACACTTAAGTCCAGGTGTGGAAAATACTTAAGTGGAAACCACTGGCGCTTCTGCGCCCCTGCCATCGCAGAAGCGAAGGCGCTTCTGCGGAATATTTCCCGCTTCTGTGACCACTGCTGGGCATGACCAAACTCTCTTCTGTGACCAAGAGCTCGTTTTGCGAGCCCAAACCTGCATCTAATCCTCCACATGTGTGAAAACACTAGAACAACC